CAATCTTCCAAAAACTACTTGGTCTTAATGTATGTTTTATCTTTTCCTGATCATTTCAACAACAGATCTGTATCCGATGTATAAGTTACATTACAGTATAGATGTATTATCAGAATTCTATTTTCTGTCTCCTAGTGTTCCTACAAAGATCATGACTGTAATTAAGGTTTTGAATGGTTAGCTTGCTGCTTCGTCTTAAAGCAATTTGCATTCCTATGTAGTCCCATGGAAAGGTCATCCATTCTCAGAGAAGTAATATATTACTAGAACACAGTTTAACTCTCTGAAAGCAAGTTTATTCAACTGGAAGGAGAATAATGCTCTCCTCCCATTCTCAATCAAAGCATGATCACAATACAGCTCAAAGTTTAAAAGTTTCTATTGGTATGAAATGCAAAGTTGGCATAACTCTTTAAAGTTGTAATTCTAGATCAGGGCTTATTAGGGCCGTGTGATATAGTCTCCTTATTCTTACTGGTTAAACACTGATTTGTATTTAGACTTCCATGTGATCAAATTTGCACTCAACATTTTTCAGTGATTTCAAATTTCAATGGAGGTAGTCCAGGAGCCTTACTATGGTAGTTTTTCACATACAACATCCTCTATTTGCAGATACCATCTTCAAAAGTTAGTTTTATTATATGTAGGTTCCTTACTTTTCCCTATTCACTAACACAAAACAGAAAAAAAATCAAGCCTTTCTCGTAGCCCAAGCACAATTATTTATCTTAAAATCTCCCCTCAAGTTGGATTCAGCTTTAAGAGATACCGCATAGTATAGCAGACGAAAGAGAGTGCAGGGGAAGCGGTAGGAGAATTGAAGACCATGAAAATTATGGACAAATGAAAAATGAGAATTGACTCCATGTAATATTTTAAAGATATACTAATGACAAAAAGAATCAAAATTGAAGTGACATCTTCTAGAGGAATTTGGTACACAGCTTGGACTAAGATTGCAGCTATTAGCGCATTAAGAAAGAAGAAAGCATATTACTGATCCTAAAAAGAAAAAGAAAAATGAAAAATCAGAATGCATGGCTCAAAAGATTTGTTACCTGCATCTTGAGACAAATATCATGGCTGAGCGGATATTCATCTCTTCCATTTTAGACAAAATGTGCACAAGATAAGCATCCTTCACAGTTTTTGGGATAAAAAGATACTGCTGCTTAAGTGTTTCAACTGTCCTGAAGCCTTCATAAGCCTCATAGAAGAACGCCTTGTTGGCAGAAAGCTCAAGCAGTGTTTCCAGATCATCAGTCATTGTTGCAGAAAATAACAAAGTTTGCCGCTTTTTTGGCAAGCATTGGAAAACCACCCTTAATTCATCCTCAAAGCCAACATCCAAAACTCTATCTGCTTCATCCAAAACTAAAAACTAAAACAAAAAATAAAAAAATTGTAAATGAGGAACAACTTCAAAAAGAGCATATTTATTTATTAATTTATTTATCATGCAGGGTTTTAAAGAGACTCATGGTTAGAGATACAATCTCAAGTGTTTATCCTGCTTCCCTGACTCATTGCAGGGCGATATAGTTCAATCCAATTATCCTATTCCAATCACTCACTGTGACAATTCTCCCAACAATCTTATTCTAAAAATGTTCTTATATTCCTAAAGAATAAAGTCCAGTTTCTGAAAATCTCCAAATCTTCAAGTCAACCAATAGTAAGCAGATAATATAAATGCTTCAGATTCACTCCTAAAATAATGAAATATTTGATTAGACAACCTTATCCATTCCTTAATCCCCATCATATTACCTAGCATCCTATCTACAGATTATCCAAGATTCTTGCCTACTAAATTGTTCCAAATCATTTATAGCTAATTAACACAAAAAATAATAATAATTAATACCAATATCCTAATATGTCCCCAGATTTAACTATTATTTTACCAACAGAATAAACCTGCAAAAGAGAAAACATTGTACAATCAATGAGTTCAAAGGTTTTATCCATCATTCTGAAATTTATCAAATGCAAAACAATTTCGCTGTCTTTTAAATGAAATTTGGGTCACCAGCCATGTTATCCCTAATTTGGCCAAAATTCCTAGCTAATTGCAGTATATCATCCAAACTTTAAATCACTCAGAGTTACATTCTAAATTGTCAGTGCCATTTTGAAATAATTGTACTACCAGATCATACACTACAAAACAACTCTCATCATAATTCAATCAGTGCAACAACAAACTACGCCACTTTCCCCTTTGTGAACTGGCTACATAGACATTCTGCTTTGTTTAGTACCATGTCTTGAGTAAGATAAGTAGATGTAAAGTCTAACTTAGTAATAGCTAAAACGCTAAATGTGTGACCAAAATTCACGATAACAAATTTTCAACAACACAACCACGTAGTGCTCCATTTGATTATTTCTTTCGCTAATTGCTTTCTACTTCCCCAAAAATTGGTAAAAAGAAAACAGCAAAGACTAGAGAGCAAAACCATATTTGATTCAAAATGAGCAAATGAGTAAAAGCTCTTGGACATAATAGTTTGAGGCGAAATAAAAAACAAAATTCAATATTTTGTTGCTCAAAAAAGGTAAAAATTTTTAATTCTATTTGGTATCCCAATGCATATTCGTTTTTCTGCTTACAAAAAGCAGGTAGCAAACCTATAAAGCAGGAAATGGGGATTTACCTGAGTTCTTTGGAAGACTTTAGGGATATCAGGATTGTCTTCCAGCAAAACCTTAATTCTCCCAGGTGTAGCCACAACGACATGCGGCCTTGAAGCCAAGGCTTTCGCCTGCGTAATCATGTCCATTCCACCCACCACCACCGAACACCTTAAATGCAAACAAGACCCCAGTGCTGTGAACTGCTCCGCCAACTGGAAAGCCAGCTCCCTTGTCGGCGTAATCACCAGCGCAAAAACCCCATACGGATCCTCCGCCAAACGGTGCAATATCGGCAGAGCAAACGCCGCAGTTTTGCCGCTTCCCGTCTGGGCTATTCCCAGCACGTCACGACCGGCAAGTATTTTGGGTATGCAATGGGTTTGGACCGGCGTGGGCTTTCGCATTCGGAGTTCTTTGCATGTTTCGATGGCCCATTCTGCTAAGCCCAGGTCGGAGAAAGCGGTGGTTGTAGCGGCGGCGGCGGCGGAGTCAGAGGTGGAGGAGACTTTTTCTATTTGGGGAGTTTGGGAGTTAAGGTTTTGAGAGGGTTTAGTGGTTTTATTGGGTTTGGGTTTGCGGGGTTTGGAGAAAAGAGGGAAGTTTTTGTCGATTAGAGTTGGAGAGCTTTCCTGTCCCTGCTCTTCTTGAATCATGGTAATTTACTGTTTGGATGGAGAGAAAGTGAAAGAAACCTCTTAAAACTGGGGAAAGAAATTTGAAATCTTTTCCTCCTTTAAAGACCCGGACAGGAGACGGAACACCAAAAATAATTTAGCGGCCACACTATGTTTTGGTCGTGAGAACGGAAAGTGAGGGAATCTGAATATTTAATCATTCAAAGATTTTCTAGAAAAAGGATTTTCCATTGATAAATGAAAGAATCAACTCTAGAGTCAGTAAATAAAAAAATAAAAGCTGGAAAAAGGGATCATATTCGCTTTGTTTATCTGTTTGGTCCCAAAACTTTCCATGAAAGGAAAATTTGGGGAGTGTTGTAATTTGATGTTCATTCCTGAATTAGAAACATAAGTTTTTGATTTTATAAGTAAAAAAAATTAAAAAAAAAAAAAGAAGGAAATTCCAAAACGGTGTGTTTTGCTTTTCTTTACGATGTTCGAAATTGGCAAAGGACATGACAAGTGAATGCTTGGAGTCCACAAACATTTTGGTGGCGTTTGGTATGCTGCAATGTAAAGCACATTACTTGCAATGTGGTTTATTAAATTACATTGCAACGTTTGTTTTATAACAGATTACTGCAATGTAAGATTGCAATGCAATCACATTACAGCCAATCGATGTAATGTGATTGCAGTCCAAAACCAATGCAATCACATTACATTGCACTCTGTAATGTTCTTAAAGACAATTTTACCCTTTAATTTTATTACCTTATTAAAAATATTTTATAATATTATAATTAAAATAAAAATATTAAAATAAAATATATATAATATAAGAATAAAAATTAAAATAAAATAAAATAATAAAAATTAACATTTATATAATATAGGTAAAACAAATTAAAATAAAATATATAATATAAAAAATATATTAAAAAATAAAAATAAAATATATAAAATTATAATAATAAATAAAAATAAAATATATGATATTTAAAATATATTTAAAATATGATATTATATAAAAATTAATAATATAAATATAAATATATTAAAAATAAAATATAAAATATTATAATAAAATAAAATAAAAATATATGACATTAAAAATATATTTAAGAAATGATATTATATAAAAATTAATAATAAAAATATAAATATATTAAAAATAAAATATAAAATATTATAATAATAAATAAAATAAAATATATGACATTAAAAATATATTTAAGAAATGATATTATAGAAAAATTAATAATAAAAATATAAATATATTAAATAAAATATAAAATATTATAATAATAAATAAATAAAATATATGACATTAAAAATAATTTAAGAAATGATATTATATAAAAATTAATAATAAAAATATAATATATTAAAAATAAAAATATAAAAATATTTATAATAATAAATAAAAATAAAATATATGATATTAAAAATATATTTAAGAAATGATATTATATAAAAATTAATAATAAAAAATATAAATATATAAACTTATATTTTAATAATTAGGGGTAATTTTGACAATTAACATACATTCTCACTAAAGTACTTGTAAACCAAACACTGCAATGTTATCTTCCCTGCATTTTAATCATTATTTTGCTTACATACCAAACACTGTAATGTTATTTTCCCTGTAATCACATTGCTTGCAATCACATTACTTACAATCACATTACCTGTAATCACATTGCATTGTAATGTACCAAACGTCACCTTTATGTGTTGTTGGGTAGAGAAGGGGAACAGAGGCTTGCGTGTTGGAAACAGGGTAGATAGAGTGAAGGGAAAGCAACCAAAGAAAAGAGGGTGGAAGAGTGCAATGGAGTCACCATTCAAGGCGGATATAGTGAAGGGGAAGGTGGCTTTGATAACAGGAGGAGGGTCAGGGATTGGCTTTGAGATTTCTACACAGTTTGGGAAACATGGAGCTTCTGTTGCAATCATGGGTCGGCGCAAACAAGTCCTTGAATCTGCTGTCTCTGCTCTTCAATCCCTTGGGATCATTGTAAGTATCATATATTCCTTGTTTTATCATCACCATTTCCTCTGTTTTTTATGTCTGATCTGTGTTCTTCTTCATTTCTTTCCTTTTTTTTTTGGCTTTTTTGGCTTTTCCTATCTGAATTCAGTTCACTCTCTTTCAATTTTATTATATTTATATGCACCAGAGGCAGGTATTATTCTTCTTGTTTGAATCCAACTAATCTTTGTTTTTTTTTTTTTTTTGCTTTTTACAACATGTCCTCTCTCCCTACCAAAAGGATCCCCTACAACAAGTATTGTTAGGATTGAATAAATAAAAACTGTGCTATGTTCTCCTTTTGAAGAGAGTGCCATGTTTGTTAGTATTATCCCCTTGATTCATCTCATTAATTGAACAACCTTTCTCATTGTTTAACCACGTGTTACATATGAATATCAATATATTATGTGAAAATGTCGTATGCATCACTTGAGGTATGAGTTCTAACTTGTAATACACACATACATTCAGCTACTTTTAATTAATCCCTTAAACCTTTTTGTTGTTCTTTCTCAGTGTTATATGCTCGGTTGATCTTTTTTTTTCCTTTTGGAGCCAAATTGTGCTTATTTGGTTGCTGAAAAACTGATAGTTCTACCCAGTCTGATCACTAATGGAAGAAGAAAAAGTTAATAAGCTGCTACTATAGACAATGCTGACGGCAAGATATTCAGAGTTAACAAACTGCAAAATTGTGTGGTGCTCAATGCTCACTTTGGTGCATTAGCTCCAGATTTCTGATGTTATAATCCAGTCAACTGAATCAATTGCTACGTCCTTGTGTGTATGTTACTTATCCATTAATTGCCTGCATTTTGCATGATTTTTCATGTTTTCTACCTTCACTGAGCATCAGCTGAGATTGCATACACTTACTATTGTTTTTGAAGGCTGTTGGCTTTGAGGGGGATGTTCGCAAGCAGGAAGATGCAAGAAGAGTGGTTGAATCAACTTTCAAGCATTTTGGCCGCATTGACATTCTTGTGAATGCTGCTGCTGGCAATTTTCTTGTGTCAGCTGAGGATTTGTCCCCTAATGGGTTTCGAACAGGTACTTGGAGCCTTTCCAACAGGTTTCCGATGTATACAGGGTCATTTGATGAGAGCAATTTGTAGATTTAACTCAATGATCTTTGGCCTTGTCTACAATGGCTTTTTGAAGCTCTAGCAAATTTTTATCTTTTCCTGTACTTGTTTAAAATTTTGTTCTTAACTGCCTCATAGAGTTATTAAGCAATAAAATATCCTGTTTTTCCCTTTTTATTTTTTTTGAAAAACCACACCCCAAAAGTTATTAGCAACTACTTTCTTATGATTGGTAACTAGGCCTTCTTCTTTATATAAACGTTTTAGCTAAAGTTTATTCTCACCTACACCTGCAGTTATGGATATTGATTCTGTTGGCACATTCACTATGTGCCATGAAGCACTTAAGTATCTCAAAAAAGGAGGACCTGGAAGGAACTCATCTGGGGGTGGGGTGATTTTGAACATTAGTGCTACTTTGCACTATACTGCTGCTTGGTATCAAATACATGTCTCTGCAGCCAAGGTTTGTTTGCATAAATTTCTTCCTGTGAGGAATATTTTACTCGACTTATACTTATTTGCAGTGTTTTCTTTCTGTTAGGCAGCTGTTGATAGCATTACTAGAAACTTAGCACTTGAATGGGGAACTGACTATGATATTCGAGTAAATGGTATTGCCCCAGGCCCTATTGGTGATACTCCTGGCCTGAGTAAACTTGCACCAGAGGAGATTAATAGCAAAGCTCGAGATTACATGCCATTGTATAAACTAGGGGACAAATGGGATATCGCTATGGCTGCTCTCTACCTTTTCTCAGCTGCTGGTGAGTAACCTTAGATCCCTGTTCTAGTTATCTCGCCATTACCTATATTTGTCTATATATTAAAGATTCAAGAATCTAATCTTAAACTCACTGATCAATACAACAATATGATGTGAAAATGTAATCTTTTTCTTGCTTTTAGCATGTCCATATCCAAATCTCAGTCCTGAATTTTCAGAGCCATCATAATCCATCTCTTTCTTGTCCTTATATTAATCAGTTACCATCATATGAAGGTTTAATTTTCATTTTCACTATTAGCTTGAATACATCTGAGCTCAACATATCCAACGCGCATTATCTGGCTGTACAGTCTTTACATTTCAAGAAATATGCCCATGTTGTCTGATATATTCTGCCGTATGTAAGTGCATCCGATGTGTTTCACCTTCTCATGGTGTTGGCACTTATTTTAAATGGTAGTATTTCCTTTCCCTCCCCTCATTTGATTCGTATGATCACGGACCCAAAATAAAATAAAGGATGAAAAAAGTTCATGGTGTTGGCACTTAGTCCAGGGAATGATAGGTGGCAGAGTAGCATGCATTTTCTCTTCCTGCCATTGTTTTTCCAGCATTAATAATTTACTGAGAAAATTTTAAGCTCTTAATCCATGTGTATGCAAATTTGAAGGTAAATATGTCAATGGAACTACACTTATAATCGATGGAGGACATTGGCTGAGCCGGCCTCGCCATATAACGAAAGAGGCAGTCAAGCAGCTGTCTCGGGCAGTCGAAAAGAGATCTAGAGATAAACCAGTTGGAGTTCCAACCAGCAAGCTGTGAACCAAGCTGATGGAGTGATCATCTAAATGCTTCAACGTATATAGGGTATAGCTAAAACTATTGTCTTCATATATGAATATCTCAGGGGAGGGCTTTCATCCCTCGTTAGAAGCCTTCAATTGATTGAATAAAGCTAGAAGCTACTTTACCAAGCTATTGAATTAAGCCTTCTCAAGCTTTTCATGACATGCAGGAAAAAGCTAGTTCTTTTCAAATCAAGAGGGATTGTGGACATTTTTTTTTTTTTTTGCTTTGGGGTGTTTTTTTTTTTAAGAAATTGTAATTAAAATTTTTAATTTTTTTATTTTTATCATATAATTGTAAAATGTAAAACAATAAAAATTACAAAAAAAGTATATATAGAAAATAAAAAATACAAAAAATTAAAAATAATAGAGAATTGAAAAAACACTGGAGAATGGGAAAATATACAAAAAAAAAAAAGAGAATAGAGGCATGGTTCGATAATTTTTTTCAAAATTCATTAAAATTTTAAGTTGATAATTTTTTATTTATACACAATTTATCTTTTAATTTCGAATTAATGGGCGTCATAATGTATGAGTCTTAAAACTCAATTGTTAGACGTAAAAGAAGTCATCATATTTAGATGCGACTAATCACTTAATTGAATCTATTTTTCCTAATGAGCTCTTACGTTTGATTTGAGTTTTTTAAAAAAATGGATTCCAATTTACGAAATAGATTAAGTTTGGAAGTACAATTACGTATGAGGAAAGGATTAGCATCTTCACAATGTTCATTTAAAATTATACTTATTTAATTATGTGTTTTCTTTTTAGTCTTAATAAATAAATTTTATTTTAATATCTTAGTTTATTTTCCTTAACTGTTTCTCCAATTATCATTTTAAAATAAATAAAATATCCTTTAACATTGAAATTCAACCAAAATTTTCCAACCTTTTTGATAAAATTTAAAAAGATTTTCTCATCTCAAAATTTTTTAAGAAAGGTATCCCTCATAACATTCTTGAAATTTCATCATTAAATGATTTTCATTTATTTTATATTAAACATTCATTATCAAATTATATTTGTAAAATTTAAAATTTTTATTTAACTATGTTCATATATATAATAATTATTTATAAATAAAAATTAAAAGTTAAATAACAAATAAGATTAAGTCTCGGATAGATATGGTGTTTACAATTACCCATCTTTGGAACTAAGGATTCAGAAAAATATATAAACAACTATTTTTGTTCGGAGTAGTTATAAAAGAACTCAAAACTCCTTTATCAAAATTCCACAATTTAAAAAGAAATTAAAATTCCTCCTTTAAGGCTTTAAAACTTTTTACAACTCCTCTATCAAGGGTTTAAAACTTTTAAATCTCCTCTTCCAAGGTTTCAAATTTGAAAATAAAATAAAAAACTCCTGCATCGAAGCTTTAAACTTTAAAAGAAAATGAGAATCCTTCTATCGAGTCTTTAAAGTTTTTACAATTCTTCTATCGAGGCTTCGAAACTTTTTAATCTCTTTTACCGAGGCTTCAAATTCCTTCACCAAGGTTTCAATATCTTAAGAATTTCTTTATCAAAGTTCTAACATTTTAAGAATTCCAATATTTTAAGAATTCCTCCACCAAAGCCTCAAATTCCTCCATCGAGGCTTCAATATCATATGAATTCCTCCACAAAGGTTTCAATATCTTAAGAATTCCTCCACCGAGGCTCTAATATCTTAATAATTTCTCTATTGAGTTTCCAAAATCTTAAGAATTCTTCCACTAAGGTTCCAATATCTTAAGAATTCCTCCACTAAGGTTCCAAATTTTAAATAAAACTCCTTCACCAAGGCTTCAAAACTTTAAAAAGGAAATATCATTTCTTGAATGTGTTAGTTCAAGAAACTTAAGATAAAGAAACCAAGAGGGGGGTGGATTGGTTCTTTAAAAAATTTGATTTTTCTTGAAAACAAAGGTAAAGATGAAAACTTTTAAAGTACAACTTATGAACAAAAGTATGAGCGCTTAAAAGATAAAGAATAAAGCAAAGAATGAGTATAAAAGAGAAAAAACAAACTCAACCATGATTTCTATAAAGGTTTTATCCTTAAAGCTTATGTACTCTCCCTTAATAGTACAAAGAGTTTGAATTCATTATCAACTGCCTTTTTCAACTAGGTTTATGCATAACCTTTACAAGCAACTATCTTTTAGGGATTAATCGCAACCTCTTGACAAGTTATTACCTTTTTTAGCATCAAGTACAACCTTTATAATACTACCTTTGAAGGATCAAGCATAAGCTTTTTACCTTTACAAGGAGGTATAACCTTTCTACCTTTTGCTATAAAGGTATAGCCTTACAACAGTGTATTACAAAGCTTTAAATCTCTAACAAGGCTGATGAGCTGAGTTTAGTACAAGAGGCTGAAGATGAATCTAGGAATGTAAGCTTAGGAAATGATACTCTGTTTTTGGGAGTTTATTGTAAAGAGAAGGGAATGAACTTTAAGAAATTTTTGCTCTCTTCTCCATTTGTAATGATTTTCTTTCTCTCTTTTCTTTCTAGCTGTTCTTCTCTATTCTTCTCACTTGAAAAAGTCATTCACAAAGGTATTTATAGGTTTTCTTTATTTTTGCCAACAAGAGAAAAGTTTTTGTTCAATTTTCAAAAATTGAGGTCATTTGAATTGCGTTAGTTAACCTTCAAGAATTGACCAATGGACATGTGAGAAGTCGATTCTTTTCCAATCTAAGACATTTTGTTTTTTGAGAATCGATCTTTTGACTTTTGAGGCATCGATTCTTCTTGCTTCAATTTGAGTCTGATGCTTTTTATTTAGAGAGAATTAATTAGTGCATTTTTTGAGTAGTTGATTTTTCCTATCTCACTTCAAGCCTTGAGCATTATGTTTTGTGAGAATCAATCATTGCCTTCTTCAGAAGTTGTTTCTTCTTATCCGTTGAATGTTAAATTGAAATTTCAAATTCTATTTTTTTGCTCCATCCTTGTTCTATTCTCTTTCTTTGATTCTTCAACAAGTTTCCAATCTTTCTTCTTTGCAGCTTTGAGAATTAATGATTCGATACTCGAGAAATCAATTTTTCTTTTCCAATGTTTTTCCATTTTGTTTCTACCTTTTCAGGAATCGACTTTTACTTCTTTAAACATCGATTCTTCCATTTCTGTTTAATTAGGAATAAATGTTTCCTTGATGAAAAGTTGGACAGAATGCCCTACCATTCCCTTGTGGTATTTGCAAGAAAGATCAAAATTGCATTTCGATTGCTTAGTGTCTGATGTTTGAAGCATGCCAACCTTAATCATTGCTTTGAATATCTCAATCATTGGAGTTTTAACCTCATCTACATTTATCTTGATGTAGCTCACTTTTCCACAATTCATGACATTTAATGAACCCCCCGTGTGATTCAGTAATGGATTCCCGTTGACACTTGGGTTATCTTAACAATCTTGCTTTGACCAAACTTTACACCTTGCACTTCAATGGTGTGCAATTCTTGGTGGAATGACCTTGAGCTCCATAGTGGTAATCACAATGAGCATTAACATCATACCATCTAGGGTAAGGTGGCTTTAACGGTTCCACATAAATAAATGCAACAAGGTGGTTTTTAATGAGTTGTGGAAACACAACTGTATATGTCATAGGGATTGGGTCAAATTGCTCTTTTTCCTAGTTATTCCATGGTCTCTTTGGACTATTTGGTATGTATGTAAGACTTTGGGGACTAATATTTGTTGAGAAGGTTAGTGGTTTTGAATTTGTTGGTATGGATTTTGAAAGACATTATTGATTGTAGGGTAAAAAGGGTAATATGAGGGATATTGATTAAAGCCCTCAAGAATTACACCTCTCCTTCCTTTTTCTTTGATTGACCGTCTTTAGTTGCATCATTCACCTTTATTTTACCCTGCTTGATAGCACTATCAATAATCTCTCTTGAAATTACTATGTCGGTAAAATTTTTTGTGGCATTGCCAATTAGCCTTTCATAGTATGGCGTACACAAGGTGTTGATAAATAACACTGTTCTTTCCTTGTCAATGAAAGGTGGCTGGATTTCTTACGGCCATGTCTCTCCACCTTTGAGCATATTCTTTAAAACTTTTTGTAGTTTTTTTTTCCACATTTTGCAAAGAAAGTCTATTTGGAGCCATATCTATAACATGCCTATATTGAGCTACAAAAGCTCTAACGAGGTCTTTTCAAGACTGAATTCGATTCTTATCCAATTTGATATACCACCTAGCTGTAGACCTTGTAAGGCTATTTTGAAAAGAGTGAACCAAGAGCTCATCATTATTTGTATGAGCAGCCATTCGTTAAGAATGCATGATATATGCGCCATTGGACATTTTGTGCCATTGTATTTTTTAAAGTTTGGCACTATGACCACAAGTGACAATATGATGCCTTGTGATGTCGTGACCTTGGTCTCCTCAACACTATGGGACTTTACTTTCTGGATTTTGTATAAGACTTTTCCTTTCACTAGTGTCGCGGCCTTGCTCTCCTTAGCACTACAGCCTTACTTTCTTTAGCCCTGTGGCCTTGCTATCCTTAACGTCACAGCACTCTGCTCTCTGAATTTTTTATAAGGCTTTGGTGTATCATGGCGATGTAGCCTTGAACAACTCAAGGCTGCAGCTTTTATTCTTTAGTGTTGCCTTGTGCAAAATTACAATAGTGTAGCCATTTTCAACATGATTTTCTATTTTATCTTATCCAAAATAAGTAAAGTGGTAAACACGAAAGTTGTAGCCCTATCTTTTTCTTTCCAATGGATTAAGAATCACATCAATTGCACTTTTGTAGCTTAAGTTATCCTTGAAATATTACAACATATATGAATAAAGTCATCACCATATTTGTACGAATTTTCATCAAGGAAGCCTTTCTCATCAATTTTCCTACAAAATCAATAAGAGAAATCAACAATACCTAAAGTAAGTTAAAAAAAATAACATAAAATTAAACTAAAATAGCTTAAATTAAACTACTAAACATATAATCAAACTTAATTAAGAGAAACAATTAAAATACTAAAATTCAAACCTAAAATCTCAAATATCTAACTACTTAAGTCTCTAAAATATGTTAACATAACTCTATAAACTATAGTTATCATATATATAAATATAACTCCTTTCTAGGAAAGGTTAGCAGCAATAATAAAAAAAAATTCTTTTCCCTTTTTTTCTATGGAAGCTATGTTACAACAAATAAAAAATATATATATTGTTGAGAAAGGAACTTGTCCAAAGAAACCGTAAGGAAAAATCTTAGAAGTTGATTGTGAATTTTTTGTAAAACTATTCTCTCCTATTTATAGATTTTAGGAAATTATTCTCCATAAAACACTTTAAATTTTCTCATCAAATCTTTTTCTACATTTCATTGCTTTTCCATATATATCTCTACTCTGCTTTTTATTTTGAACTTTTCCTATTATCACACTTTACTAAAAACAATTGTAAAGTGTTCAAGTCTAAAATAAGCCCACGCCTTACTTGTCCAACTAAGAAAAAAAATCCTAGAACAGTTCTTTCTCTTACTCAAGTTCACGATAAATAAATAAATAAATAAAATGAGATACAAAAAAAAATAATTTCTTGTAACAAGATCAACGTTGAAGTCCTTTTCTCAAGATTTTTATAATAGTTTGCGCGAACTACCTTCCTCTTCGACTAATACCTAAGTGTTTCCCAAGGACATTCCAACAGCGAAAATGCACAAGGGTGTTCCAAACTCAAAAACGAACAAGGGCATTCCAGGTGCGAAAATGGTCAAGGACGTTGCAAGCGCAAAAATGCCTAGGATGTTCTCAAGTGTGTAACACATAATGACAACAAAAAAATAACAATAAAAAAAAATAAAAGCATAAATTTGCAAGTTATTCTTTATTCCTATATATATATATATATATATATATATATATATATATAAGCATTGCCTTGCTTATCCTATGTGCATCTTCTTGTTTTATGCATAAAACTCCTTATAAGAACTTTTATGAAGAAGGCAAAATATAGATACTCAATTTTGGCTAATTATAATTTTTTGAAGTATTGTGCTATAGAATAAAAACAAGCATGGAACAGCTATTTCATATGTTATGCTATAGAATAGGAATAAGTGTGGAATAGCTATTTCATATAGGGAAGTGAAAGTAACTCAGAACGAGTGGCAGGGTTCATGAATTATCTTTATGTTTGGGATGTTTTAAAAAGCTTGGCTTAGTGGCTCAGATATGAAGATAGTTAAAAAGATTTATTCTTAACCTTTCCTTGAAGTACATGTGCTTTACTTTTTTTTTTCTTCCAATAAAGTGCACTTGGTGCACTATCAAGTGTCGCTACTCCATTGTCCAAAATTTACTCCCACTACCCAATTCCTTGGTCATTCTTTTAATATCCCATAAGTCATTCTTTAACATGCTCTTCCATGACAAGCTCGTTCTCTTATAATTGAACGTATTCTTTTAATTGCTCTCAAGAAAACGATCCTGTTCAATACAAATATGAGAGCCTCGAAGGTTGGAGGCAAAATTCCCTCAAAGCTCTTCGAACTATTCTTTCTATTTAACCCTTTTCATCTATTGTGCTCCACTATTTTCTCCATCTTTCTTATTCCTTACCACTTACTACCAAAGCACTTATGCTTCAAGGATTATTCCAATCTTCCTCTCTGTCACCTCTAGTGTATTTTGCTTCACTTATTGCAATATGTCCTCTCTCTACTAGAAGAACCCTTTGCAATGCTCAATTCTAAAAACAAAACAGGTTTTGTGAATTGAACGATAGAAAAACTAGATATTGATTCTTTGGATTTACAATCATGGATACAATGTAATGTAGTGGTTCTTTCATGGCTTACAAATGCACTTGCTAAGGAGCTTCAACGTAGTGCTACTCAGGTTGAAATTATGAGAGAAATATGGGTAAAATTTAGAAGAAAGATTTACTTAAAGAATTGCACCAAGAGTTTATGAGTTGAAGCACGTCATAGCTCTTTTACAATAAGAGAAATAGTTGATCTTATGCTATTACAGTAAATTAAAATGCATTTAGGGTGAGTTACAGTGTCTCAATCCAATCCCATTGTGCAAATGTGGACATACCTATGGTACGATGAAAAGGATACGATCTATGCATGGAAAAGAAAAGGTTTTTTATTTTTTATGGAACTTGATGAAGTATATTCAACTGTTTGGTCACAGATATAGAGTGTTGACCCATTACCAAATCTTGAAAGAGCTTATGCCATTGCAACATAGGAAGAAAAACAACGTTTGGTTGTCACAACTTTTGCAACTATTATTGAAGTTACTACCCTATTCACTAAAGAAAATGAATTACGATAAAAGAAGAATGATGATGGGTGTTGTTGCTGATTTCCATCTTGTATCCGCTGTGGAAAGACAAACCACAGGAAAGAGTATTGTTACAAGGTGATTAGTTATCCAAATTGACACAAATTTGGAAAGAGGAGCCGCAAATAGACTAGTGGTGATCAATCATGTTCTCGAGGAAATCAATGGGATGACGGTGCTATGACAAGCATGTCTTTAGAAGTTGCTTGTGCTGCCACTGTGGGTGGAGTTAGATCATTAATTCCAAGTTTGACTTCTACGCAGCATCAACAGCTACTAACTCTACTAGATAATCATGGAGGATCAACAACAAACATGACAACCTCCAATAGGTAGCTTTTTGTCAAGCATATTAATGAAATGAAAGCTTCTCCTACTTTTAATATATATATATATATATATATATATATGTATATGTGAACAACTTTAACTATGAAATTTTGAAAAAAAAAAGAAAGAAAGTATGAAGCGAAAATACTACATAAATAAAGAACAATCAACAAAAAATGAATGTTTCCTAGATTCCTTCTTAATATTTTTTGTTTTTTGCAAATTAAAGGATTTTATTGCTTAACAGGGAACGAAAAGTTCCTTGGATCATTACAATAGCCAGACCTACTTTAGGTTGCTATGTTCATTACATATATCATCCCAAAAACAAGGGCATCAGCCTCGGCAGTTCAAATGAACATGATCATCTCAATGTTCAAAATATTCACAATAACCACCTATATACGCTTAGAACAAAAATCACAACTCAAGAGAAAATTTTATTTTTTGGGATTTTTTTTTCAGATTTAGGAAAATTGGTTAGATTTTCAAAAAAAAAAAATTTTAGAATTTTAAAAATCGAATAAATTTTGAAAAAAAGGAGTTTTGTTTTTTTTTTTTTGGAATTTTGGACCACCGAAAACATCGACCAGTGATAGTACTGGTGGCTAGAATTTGAGATTGGGGGGCAAACTTGGGAGAGAAGGGCAAAGGGAGAGAGAAAAGAGAGCTAGAGAGAAAAAAAAATGGAAAAAAAAAACTAAATATGTTTTAAATAGTCCCACTAAATATGAAGCGATAGCCAAAGGAAGAAAATTATAAAAGAAGAAAGAAAAAGAAGTCACATGGCCAATTTTTATATCTATAAAAGTTTAATTTAACATGTCAATACTAAGTTAATATTGTCTGTCACATCAATATCGTTAACAGTCAATTTGAATGAAATTAATTATACCCAATATCAAAGTAAAATGATTAAATTGATCCCTTTTTTAATACAATGATTAAATTGATGAAAACATTCTAAATTTTATTCTCAAGGATTAGTATCTCCATGTTGGCTTTAGTGAGTTCCTATCGTAGAGCTTCTGAATTCAAGTATACTCAGTGGTCAATCGTTTAAGGGAATGGCAGTATGACTTCCCCATCATTGCTTAAGTGAGAGATTTTGGACTCCTGGATAACATCCAATTTTAGCAAGTCTGTTAAAAGATAAAGATTTACCCTTTTTTATCTTGATAAATTTAAGTTACCATGATTATTTGATCAAAATTTTATAAATAGATTTGAAGCTTTTTACCCAACAGGAACAGTAAAGAACAATCTGAAAAATAATGTAAAACAAAAACTCTACTTAAAAAAAAAAAAAGCTCTTTCTTCTCCCATTATTATGTTGAAGGTTTTGCATTATGAAATATGGGATTACTGTTCAATTCTGTAATAATTTTTTTTAATTGAGAAAAAATATTTAAACCCTACTTTTTAAATAGAGAAAACATGCATCAACTAATGAACCAAATTTCCGTTATGGATTTTTGAAAATAGAAAAGCTTGTAAATAGTGGTGAAGCTACCAGCTTAGTTCTGGAATAAGGGATCAAACAAGAATCCAACCCCCTGCCCACCATCCTAATGGAAAAAACGACAGAAAGCAACATGGCTTAGAAACAATGTATTTCTTATTTAAAGACTCAAGACATAATACAAGTTCTCTTTTTCTTTTTCTGCACGTAAACTGCTATGAAGAATAAGATTCACAACTAAATCTGAATGCAAATTGACAAACCTTTCAGCAAAAGCACCATTTAAAATTCAGGAAAACAAAAGAATACAGCAAAGCTACAGTAAAAGAATCCATTAAATATGATGCTTGCCTCATTGCCGACCACAGCTACATTCCTGGATTTCCTTCTATAGTTGAACGAACAGCGTGGAGCTGGCTAACCGATGGATATCAAGATCTTCAAATCAATTCTAGCAATCAAGATTCAAATTTGTTGAAAAATCTTAACAGGAAGACCTCTAGCATTTATGAAAGCTTCAATGAACTTCAGGATAATTATTCAATCATGACTATGAACATCCTAATTAGCAAGCTTTCACAACAGAGAAAGTAAACAGGCCTCTTTGTATTTAATAACTCAAGCAACCATCAAAATCCCTATGTCAGGTGATACAATTATGAAAATTTTGGGGGTGAAGCAGGATTTCTGGCCTCTTAATGTCCATCAACCAAAGCAACCATTATACTTGCATGCCAGGATTTGTCACTGAAATTTAGGACCATTAACATCTATGAAGGGGAGCAGGATATATGTCCACAGGTTGATATTGTAAACGATCATTATGAGGCAATGGTCCCTCCTGTGAAATTTAACAAGAAAGTTCATTAGGTGATGTCAAATTTGATTCAACACAAGGCAAAGAAGATTTAACAACACAAGTTAGGCGAAGGGACAAGCAACTTATGACAGAAAAGAGGAACAAAAATGCATAAAGAACTATGACATGCAATCCCAAATGATACAGCAAGGGATAGCCAGTTTAATTAGCCTACATGAGCAGATGTTGAATGATGTCCATACAAAGCCTGCATCTCACGTGCTAAAAGAACTGATATCACATAAAACTATTTCCAACAGTTAGAAGGTCCTTAATTTATTTTTCTTTTTCCTTATTTTCTCAAATCTGTAATGATTTATATAGTTGTTAAAATGCATATAAAAATACCTCATCCAAGTTGATCTGGAATGGCTTGACAAAATCCTCAAACATCACTGGAGAGAGTCCCTTCATTTTCTCTTCAACTTCCTATGGGAAGAAACATCTAAGATGCTTAGCAGGGCGCATAACAAAAAATCTTGAGCCAAGTTATAAGAGTTCTATAGGTGATACAGCAGCCCATGACAGACGCTAAACAATATAGAATTTTACTCAGGGATCGACAAAATGTCTCAATCTTTTGCTGTTCACATCATAATCTAATAATCATGGTCCACTAGACTAGTCACAGTTTATTTGGAAAGAATTTCCTTCTTGTGAGGGCTGGCCTTTACCATTTGGTATAATTGGCATAGTTTCAACATTTAACATGCTGTACAGCATCATTTGGTATACGCTTCTAATAGCATTTTGAGATCTCCTTCCACATTTACCTAGTTTTCTCATACTCTAATTTTTTAAGCTAGTTCATTTTAAAGAAGGAATGGACTTCCCTTCTCTAATCTCCATGATTTGAAAGAAAATAATATAAGAGAAAGCAAAAATCATGTACACAATATACAAAAAAAAACCAGCTACATGTAATGATACATCAAAATTGTCTAAATAGCGGTTGTGGTTAGTGAAATTCCAATAAATAAACCGCAGAAGCATTGGTCTTCCTTTTGACAAGGAGTGGCTCACACTCTGACCAAATCAACTGCAAAAGTTCAGCAATCATTTTCAACAGGAACCTAGTAAGTATTGACCGAAGGCCAATTTATTTTCACAAGCAACTGAAAATTTTAATGTTTATTGACGATGGACATGTGCATGAAATAAAGCACCAAGGCACTTGACAGCCAGAAAGAAG